AAATTAACTTAAATGATTTTAGCAAATGGCTGCAATATAACAAAGAGTGAAAAATTGAAGGGGGTCTGAATACTTTCCGTACCCACTGTATATATATATATATACACACTATAAATAAATCTGTAAAAAATAAGGCACAATGTACTGTATTATGAAGAAATTTTCTGTATGTATAGGTGTTTTACCTATATTTTTGCACTTCATTATGCTGTGTTTTAGGCTTAATGTAAATGTGTTTTGCCGTTTTTTTTTTGTTGTTTTTTGCTTTTTTGTATTGTTTTATGCATTAGTGTATTAGTATAGTATAAACTGTATATCGCATCTATGCTACTGCATATGTAGCATACCATTGTTTGAAATGTTTTGCATTGCATAATGCATACAGTGTTGTTATTGTTAACCAAAAGTAAAGCTAAAATAAAATGAAAAAAATGAATATTAGAAGCAAAAAATTGTTTCCATGGCGGCTAACTAAAATAAAATAAGTTCAAGTACAAAAATGACTAAAACTTAAAGATAAATTAAAGCTAAATAGACATATTAAAATAATAATAATAATAATAATAAAAACAAAAACAAATAAAAATGACAAAGCACATAAAATTACAAAATGAAAATTAATTTTTTGTAAAAAATAAAATTTGAACATTTTGATACGAATAAATGCTACAATAGTATATAAATAATACTAAAATAACACTGCACATTATATACTTTTTAAAAATATAAGAAGATACTGCGTACTCTGTACCACACAATATATATACTGTATACTTTAAAAAAATATTTAGCAATTTATAACAACAAAAATGTAGTCGCATTGTGTCCAATTATCATCTCATTATCATGTCTTTTTTGCATTTTTAATCCACTTTTGTGTTTAAATGTCTTAACTTTTTGCACCTAAGTTGATTAAATCAAAATATGGGACACATATTTCTCATAAACTCAATAATGCCCTGCTGTGCACAGTATGAAGTATGGTAGTATGTTATAGATATCTTCACCACTCATCAGCCTAATACTGGTGCTAAAATGTTCATCTATACGGGCATCTCAGACGGGAAGGGAAAGCCTAAACACACACACATCCACGCACCCTTTTTAAAATTCCAGTCGTGCTCTTCTTTGTGATAGAGGGAAACCCTCCCTCAGTCTCTCTCTCTCTCATTGATTTTGGCTCCGTCTCTGGGCCGGTTGTAAAGTGCTGATGCAGTGCTTTCCGCCGGGAGGAGATGATTAACATTCAGAGGAATTATAGATCGCTGCTTTCCCTTCATGCGCTCTGTGCTGCTGTTGTTGTTTTCTGGCCCGTGTGTCTAGCAGCCGTTCATTTATTGCAGCATGATGCACCGGTGCTGATGCAGTCTCTGCGCTGGAGCACGCCGAGGTCACGTTCAGACACTACAGTATGTGTGTGAGAGACCAAACCAATGTTACTTGTACTGCAATACATTCATCCACCGCACGTTTTCCGGGCAAGTGTGTTCATGTAGAAGTAGAAAGCATGGCCAGTGTGAAAAAATCTAGATTTAAACGCAATGAAGCAAGATAGTATGTATGGAATATTTTTTCATATACATTTATTCATATTTATTCATATCCAAAATGAGACGATGTGAACATTACGGAGTGCTAAACACCCTCATGCAGTGTATGTTTCATTCATACTCGAAGCCTGAGGGCGCTCTTGCTCAGAAAGTCTAAAACGGCCTCATAGATGTAATAACTTTTGATGAGCAGGAGGGAAATCCCTAATATGGGCAAAGGCATCCCGCTATCGCTGCAGCGAAAAGATTTAATTTCAAGTAATTTCCAGGTAATAAATAAATGAAGTATATGAATAATGCAGTGATAATTGACATAACAATTATCACAGTATATAAACTATTCTGCCTTATTATGTGTTTGTATAAACCAATCATAAAATTGTAATTAGAAAAATATAGGAAAAACATATTATGGAATACAAATTATTGGTTATTGTCTAGCAGTGTATTTGATTTCTTAGCCATTTAAAAGAGATAAGAAAAAACAAAGCCTGTCAATTAGACAAAAGTCAGGGATTTGTACAGCGTCGGCGCCACGGGGGGGGCTGAGGGGGCCCGGCCCGGCCACCTCGGTCACTGTGCCCCCTCACCTCTGGTGCCGTCTCCGTAGTGGGCGCCCTGATTTTAGTCGGTGAGGCAAGGTACTGCCCTGGGAAGGTTTCCCAGGCTGTTAAATACACAGATTAAAAGCGAAATGTTT